TTAGGGATGACATCCTCAGTTTTTAGCTTGTCTACCGCTACACTGAAATTTAGTCCCTTTCCTAATGCACTTATTTCTGTGGGACTTAATACATGTGTTGAGAGATTGATAGCCCACTTTGTTTTGCTGATCGCTGTTGATTTTAGATTACTGATCTCATCGTTCTCAGATGGAGATATCTCCTCCAATAATTTATTGAACTTTTCCATTTGAGTATTCTCTGACTTTTTGAATGCTGATGTTATAAATGAAACTGGTATTGTAGAAGACTTTTAGAGATTTTTACAACATTAACGAAGACTGTCTTGTGCAACTTGAGTTCTTTAATTGACATAAATATACAAATTATTGACACATGAATAAAAACGCTTTGAATTTAGAAGTGAGGAAGTCAACTGCTCTGTATATTCCTTTGAATTAATTATTTAATTAATTAGTTAATTTCTAATGAGAATGATATTCTGAAGAATTCATCTCCGAGTACCATTTTCTGACTAACTTCTTTATACGAAACATTGTACTTCCAATATATGTGTAAAACTTGGGCACTGTGGTAGTAAGTAATTCCATATTAGTTTGTTTATTAGATGTATCACACAGTGAGGAAACAGTATTATTATTTACTGGATGACAAGGTTTCGAACAAAATTTATTCATTGTTCATAATCATGCCATCAGTTATAACCATACGACTTGAGTTTTCTAATTTTCTTTGTTTTCTCCTATTTGTCCTCGTTGGGGTAGTAGAATTTTCTAGATGTCTGGGTGGACAGGTGTTGAATCATTCCCATTACACGTATTTGCAGTCGATTCGATGAAATAAGTTTGGTGAAATGCACAAAAACTAGGTAGTATCAAGGAAAATCTAAGACAAGAAGTGAGGCATATAAGAGAAGCTTTGAAAATTAATAATTACCCTGATAAACTAGCCAGAAAGTATGTAGGGAAATGTAAAAATAAAATAAATAATGATATTATTGATGGTGATAATAATAATAAAAGTAGTATTAATGACGACATGTATGTCAAACATGCACAGGATAAAGACAATACCAAAAATAGGGAATATAAATCATCAGTAGTAGTACTGCCATACAAGGAAGGAACCTCGGAAACCACCTTACGCAGAATTCTTAACAATACGGGCAGGAATAAAAGTGGCATTCAAATCCACAAAATCAATTAGAAACAAGCTTTGTCGGTTAGAGGATTAATCCTGTGGAGCCTTTAAAACAAAACAATTTAGTTTATCTATTACCTTGCTGGAATGATTTTTAGGTCCAAAACATAGGCCAGAGAAGTAGAACGAGGTCAGACAGTCAGATTAGCGGAGCACAAAAACCTAGCAGTAAAATCTAGATTAGTTGACCAGAAAACGATAAGAGAATATTTCAGCTATAGCACTGAATTCATGCAATTACACACATGCATACAATAGGATGGAATAAGATGACAGTTTTAAAATCTAATGTCACAGGGTGGAGGAAGAGATTGGCAAATGAAGCTTTGTTTATCGAATCAACTGCAAACACGTGTAATAGGGATGATTCAATACCTGTCCACTCGGACATCTGGAAAATTATACTACCCCAACGACGACAAGTAGGAGAGAACAAAGAAAACTATGAAACTCAAGTTTTGAAGTCGTATGATTATAATCGATGGAATGATTATGAACAGTTTTAAATGGTGTTCGAAACCTTGTCATCCAGTAAATACTACTGTTTCACTCACTGTGTGATACATCTAATAACCAAACTAATATGAATTGTATTTCCAAGCATAGATTTGCAGGAATTTCATTGATGTCAAGGCATATCAAGAGGCGATTTTAGTTAGATAACTACTGATAACCATGTATTACTGGATAACTGTTTTGTCCGAGGTTGAAATTCCTCACTAGTACTCACCCCTAACGACGCTGGAGATCAAACTCAGGACGTTCAGGTTGTGGGGCGAGCTCATTAACGACCATTCATCCACTAGGACGGGATCCAATGGTCAGCAAAACACATAAAGCGTCACCGCTAGTCAGTTTCACCTACGAGTTTTTATGCTCACACTCCCTCCGCACTTGTTGGACTCCACTATTCACGACTTCTCATTGGAATTCCAAACTATAGGCTCACCTTGCAACATAAAAGTCATGGTTTTGATACACAGTGGGATCTTAGATACATACTGTGAAGAGTCTCAAAATGAGACGGAATAGCTTTTCAGTAGTCCCTGGCTTTCAACAGTTTTATAATTAATATCGGTTCGTGGCCTAACTTTGAATCAATACACTGTATGAGTTTACCAAAATGTTGTATATAATTGTAATATGTGTACAGCTATGTAAATTGAATCTCTGATAAAAGACTTCGTGATTAGCCTTCTACTACTCTGTTTTAACGTCTAGTGGGTATCTTTTAAGATTAAACTATAATAATAATAATATCGTTATTCTGGAAAGTATTTATAAAATGTAAAAAATTTTCAGAGGAGTTCATTGCATGATATTCTCTCCCTTCGTACAATATCTTCAAGTAAAATATTAATTAACTGACAGTATATCCTGTGACACACACAATGTTCTCTGAGTAGCTGAAACACAAACTATTCCATTATGATACATATATCTGCTTTGTCTCCTTCAAGAGATCCATCCACGATATCTAGTTGAAAGACAATTATAAGAGGTTCAGAAGTATATTTTGAGACCTAAGGACATAACTGAAGAACACTTATCTAATATATTGGAACACGTTACCATCCACAATCATGCCGTTACTGAAGTTTAGCGGGGACTTGTGAATTAGTAGCTTGTAAACATTTTAAATACACACACAAGAGTATTCCATTAGACGGGTCTTATATTAATCGATTAAAACAAACCGAAAGAGAGAAAAGTAATGCAACAGGGAGAGAAAGGTGGAAGTTTTTGGTATCCCAAGTTTTAGGCAAGCCCCCTCCTCTCCGTGGAATCAAGTGTTGTGAAATAAACGAACTCGAAGTAAAAAGGCTTGTTTTCTATAGTTGGTTTATCAGGATTAGTTTTGTTTTTTTACTAGTTTGACCACCGATCGTTATCAGTTAGAGAACCATTGAAAACCAGCCACAGGGAGTACTGGATAGCCAGCTGTTTCATCCTAGTTTTTTGGGAATCATCGGCAGTACACACCCACTTCACCACCAGGGCTCAAACCCAGGACCTTTTGGTTACAAGGTGAGCTAGTTCGTATACCCTTCAACCACTGGGACCCAATTCAACCACAGGCCCATGAATTCCAACTTCTACTAATTCTTGATGCATTTAGCGCGACTGTCACCAACCAGTGTTATCGGTGGGAAATCCATCCTCACACCTGACTAGTTGAACCTTACTGGTCACGACTTCTCACTAGAACTAACTCCAGGATACTCCGGTAGCGAGTCACTAGTGAGCATCAGATTAATTTTCTATTTTTGATTTGTAAGGATTAGATCTGCTTTCACGAGTTTGACCACGGACTGATATCAGTTTTTCTCTAACCCCAGTGGCTGCGTACTGTCGATGATTCCCAAACTAGGCTAGCGAACCAGCTGTCTAGTACTCCACTACTGGTTTTCAATGGTTCTCTAACTGATATCAATCCGTGATTAACTCATAAAAAAGGCTTGTGACTAAGCAGTGTGCTCAGATGAGGATCATATTTTTACCACAGATTAAATGTCAAATTAAATAGATAAGAATACTGCACAACTTATCCGTTAACTGGCTGAGGTAGTAAGCAAAAGATTGCGCACAACGAGGGAGCAAGCCACGTGCGAGCAGTCACGCCAGAAGATAAGTGAAGGAGCTGAGCCATCTGCGTCATGAATGTGATAAAACCAAAGTTCAAACATTCATGTTCATCAGTGAATACAAACTCTGATAGATTTCTGTTAGAGAAATTAAAAATTCAATACAAAATCTTACAGTAATTAGCTTCACTCACTGACTGTCTCTTTTAGTGGAAATTTCTTAACACAGAAGTAATGATGTTTTGGAATATCTAGATTTTATATTGAATTCGACAAAAATTACTTTATGAAATGTTGTTCATACTACTTCTTAGTAGCCTAAACACTTATTCGAAAATAAAATTACAGAGATTTTGTTTTCAGGTGGGATTCAGTAATCAATCTCTCTCACTCTCCACCTACCTATATTACTTCTTAAAATTTTGACTGTGTCCCACCCACCCTTTTGTGCGGTTGCCTGTTAATGCATGCAGTGCTATTGCTGAGTTTTTTTAATTACTTATCTTCGTGGGATCAATCATTCCAACCTTAGCCACTAAGTTCTTATGTTCTGATAATCTCACTACTCCCGATCTACTGGCTTGACCAATGTAGTTCACCTCAATCGCAGTCATCGTAAGGTATTTTGTAAATTATATTATTTTCAAGTACCGGTTTCTAGGGATTTGACTGATTGGTTACAGGATTTCATCATGAGCTGACATTGGTTAGAGAACCATTGGAAAACTTGTGAGTACTGGACATCTTTTTTGGGTCTATTTCGTGACTCTTCAGCAGTACACACTTACCGACAGAGTTCGAACCCAGGACCTTCTAGTTATAAGGCAAGCTCATAGACCATTAGGCTACTGCGACTCGATCCAATTGCCAGTCCATGAATTCTAACTTCTGCCAATTCACGATATAGCGCAACCAATAGCCAATGTCTTCAGAGAGTATTTATCCTCACAGCCGACCTTATGCACCCTGCTGGTCACGACTTCCCACTAGAACCCCAGGTAACTACCTACCTGAATAGGGCCAGTCGCCAGTGAGCATCTCATTGATATTGAAGTATTGGTTTGTTTAATTGACTCCCCCGGGTGCTTTAGCCTACAGAGCTTATCTCTCATGGTGAGGAATTCTTCCACTGAAATGTCTCTTTCCCTCTCTCTCTCAACCCTAGTACTTTGAAATTTTGCTACCCCAGCTACTTATTTCACTAATATTCTATTTTCTCCTTTCCTCTTTCACAGATTAATGGTCAGATTCGTTCAAATTCAAAGTTCACATGTTGGGAAATCTATCCCACAGCATATTTATCAAGATTTTTATGGATAAACAATAAAGGCGAGTCAATCCCCTCACCGAACACCAATAATAATAATAACGAAAATGAAAATGAATATGATTATGCTGCTGGCGAAAACGATCCAGAAGTGTCTTCTTCAACTGATGTCTTACTAACACCAACATTTATTAATAATCCTGTAACACAATATTATCATCATCATCATCACCACTATTATCCTTATTACTTGTCATCTAATGATTATCAAAAAATGTTTAAATTAATTAAACCAGAGATAGCGCATACACTTGTACCTGAAGGGTATTCAACACCAGATTTAACATTGAATATAACAGATCGTATGATCCAATGGTTAAAACAAATGATAAATAATCAATCGCATAAACCGTTGACAAAATATTTATTGATTACATGTGATGATTGTGATAATGAAGAGAATATTATTGATCCAAAAAAGGTAATTCTTTTGCAAAACTTTGCTGATCTCATTTTATTTGGTGAAACTCTTAAAAGTCCCGATCGATAATTTGAACGGTATATATATATATATATATTAAATATGACCAAGTAATTTTGATGCGGTTGTGTTCACTGAGCTAGCTGGATGGTGGTTTATTTGTGAAGCTTTTATTGCCTCACCACTAGGCAACATCCTCACTTGGGCGCATACTTCAGTTTGTTGAAGTGAGCTTTTAGATTTCTCCAAAAGTGTATAAGCCATCTCTCCTGGTCACCTTGAATGTGACTTTGGTTGTTTTGTGTGCTTTCACACCTTGTAGGCGGCTACTTGTATTGGTGTTGATTGTTTCCTTGACTTGAACTTTGACCCTTTGTGTGTGCGCGTGAGATGTCCTTCTTATCGATTGGTAAATTTTGTCTGTGTCGATGTGTTTATTGAGTCTGCCAGTTGAAAATAGACAAAAAGGCCTTCTGGGGATTCCCACTCTTAGACAGTAACTGACATATTCCTCCAGGAAAAGAAAAAATACTAAATTTAGAAGGCTTAAAGGAGATGACCTATATGAGATTTGATACTGTAATATTCTTATCAGGAAGATCTTGTACACTTCAGGTTATTTTACTATTATTATTATTGATTCCTTTAGTCCTTTAGTCCGCCAACGTTTCCACCTGGCTTCACGTCTGTCCACATGCGTTCATCCCCTCTTCGCATGATCGCCTCCTCCATGTCGCCCTCGCAGTGACTACCAACCAACTCGCCACTTCCCATTCGGGTTCCATTCGAGAGAGAAAGAGCTTGACGTGTGATGTCATTTGATTGTTTGTTTTCTCGGAGTATGGCCAATCCACCTGTATTTCTTCCTGCTTATTTGTTGCACAATCGGTTCCCGCTTGGTTGGTTCGTTTATCGCCAGAGGTCCCAGTTGCTGATCCTTTCTGACCGGCCATCTGATCTTGAGCATTACTGAGCGAAGACAGCTGTTGATGAAGGTCCGCTGTTTGTTTGAAGTGGCCTTCATGACGCGGTGCCAAGTCTCTGATCCATGTACCAAGTACCACTGACTTCACATTGGAGCTGAAAATCCGCATCTTAATTTTCATGCTGTGTAATGCTGTTGATCTCCACACAGACTTGAGAGTAATCAAAGTTTCCCTTGTTTTCCAGATCCCCGCTTTCAAATCTTCATCAGTTTTTTGAGTGAGTCCATTTTATGCCTGTTTCCTCGTTGCCCGCTGTCTGTCGCGTTATCCAGTCCACCGCAATCAGGAAAACCATTAGAGATAGTAGGCAGCCAGCCAGCCTTGTCTTACTCCCGTCTTCACTTCCCCAAAGCATTCCGTGAGTTTCCCGTTGTGGATTGATTGGCATGCAGCATTGTTGTACAACTGTTGGATAAGGGTTTATAATTGTTAGTGGCATCCCGTAGTAGCGAAGTAGTTGCCAAATCACCTCTCGATCGACTCTGCACTGTCAAAGGCCTTTTCAAAGTCAATGAAGCTGAGATAGAGAGGGCTGACTGCCATTCCGAGCTCTGTTCAATGAAGATCCTTAGTGTTGCGATTTAATCGATACATGATTTGTTCCTCCTGAATCCAGCCTGTCCCGATCGAAGTTCTTCACCCAGGTTGGCGTGTTTGATTCTCTTCAGGATGATGTGGCTTAGTATTTTGCTTAGGATGGATAGGTTATTTTATTCAGTCATAAACAAACTGATTTAATGCCTTCTATTGATTGTTACTCCATCAGAAGAACAACTATAATAATTGAATGTATAAATCTGGAACTGATATGTCAGTCAGCTTAGTAGGCTTGTCAAACTATTATCTACTTTTCATTTAGATACTAGAATTACGTTTAGGCAGTTATATGGTAAAACTTGTTTTATGCTCATTTTTATATGTCAAGTCAAAGGGATTGTTTTCAGCTAATAATGTAAAATGTTGAACAGTTTTCATTGTTTACTTTTCGAAACTTGTTGTGAAAATCATCTCATCAGGGCTTAAATATTTAGATTTAGTGAAGGAGTAAAAATAACAACAGCGTAAATTAAAATTTTTTTAACCTTTACACAAATTACATTTCTAGGTGAATAGTATACAAGCATCTTTAACTGATCTAACAAACATCTATGCAGGATGATACGAACTCATTTTATTCCGTGGATTCTCTCTCTTCAACCGCCTACATCCTAAACAACAAAATCAATTGTTTTCAAGATTTAGTCTGTAAGGATTAGGATTGTTTTTTACGAGTTTGACCAGGGATTGATATCAGTTAGAGAACCATTGAAAACCACCACTAGAGTACTGGACAACTGTTTCACCCTAGTTTTTTGGGAATCATCTGCAGTACGCACCTACCCCACTGCCAGGGTTCGAACCCAGGACCTTTCGGTTACAAGGTAATTTAGCTCGTATACCATTCAGTCACTGGGACCCGACTTCCCAATGGCCACACCATGAATTCTAACATCTACTAATTCTTGATGCATCTAGGGCAACCACAAACCAATGTCAGTGGTGTGAAATCCATCCTCATACTTGACTGGATGAACATCACTGGTCACGACTTATCACTAGAACTAATTCCAAGCAACTCCTCCTTGCTTCAAATCACTGCTAGCGAGCATCAGATTAATTGCCAAGAGTTGGTTTGTAAGGATTAGATTTGTTTCTTACGAGTTTGACCACGGACTGATATCAGTTAGAGAACCAATATAGTGTGTTGTGTCCTAAACGGTATACATATCGATAGTGATTTTCAAGTTTGACTGCAGATTGATATAGGGAGAGAACCACTGTAACGACAGAAGGCAAGAGTCAGGCAGTAGATCATTTATTAAGGAAATCAACGCATATTTATATATTTTCATGTACATTACTATGGATATTTAAGCAAACAAACACAGTCTTCCGATTGGTTGTTTCTCACGTAAAGTCAATCTTTCATCTATTTGTGACTGTTTCTTGAATGTCAAATTCTCTATATGTTAACTGCATCCGCCTACTCAAAGTCTGCTGTGGTCGGTTTTGAATCAATTTTTGTTCACATTTTCTCACGACAAATCTTGGGAACGTAAATATTGACGTAAATTACTGTCTACCAATTTGGCTAGTAGACAGCTCTCACCACACCATTGGAAAGCTGTTTCGTCCTAGTTTAGGAGGCACCTACAACAAACCAGCTCCTGAAAATTAGTTCGATGATCGCTATTGACTAACTCCAGGACGAAGTTTCCTGCGAATGAATTGGGTCCCGGTGGCTGAATGGGTCCTGAGTTCGAACCCTTGTCGTGGGTGCGTACTGCCGATGATTCCCAAAAAAACTATGATGAAACAGCTGTCCAGTACTCCAGTGCTGGTTTTCAATGGTTCTCTAACTGATATCAATCCGTGGTCAAACTCGTATAAAAATCATTTATAACTTACATAGCACTGTCTCAACATACTTTTCACAATTACCACAAGGTATAGATACAAAGTAGTTAGTATAGGCAACACAATGTCAAAGATGAGGTGAGTAGACAATTATTTAGTGTTAAAAGAGAGTAACTATTTATACAGTAATTAGACAAGGGGACAAGTAGAGTTCAGATTTCGCTTGGAAACTAGGATGTACTACAGACAAAACTATGAGATAGAACAACAGAGTGAATTTATACATATTATGGTGGAGAGTTCAAGAGGGTGGTGGTGAGGGTGAATAGTGAAGTAAAATTATAAAATAGATAGAAATAATTCAATTTAGTAGATTTGGAACCTTGAACTCACTATAAAGTTTCTAAATTTACCACATTAAAATTATTTTAACTGTTGGTTTTTGGGGATTTGATAGGGTATCAGGGTTTCGTCATGAACTGACATCGGTTAGAGAACCATTTGAAAACCAGAGAGAACTGTACAGCTGTTTTGTTCTTTTTTAGGATTTTTCGACAGTTCACACCCACTGGGGCGCGAATTCACAACCTGGTTACGAGGTGAGCTTGTTGACCACTAATTCACTGGGACCCGACCCAACGGCCACTCCATGGATTCCAATTTCTGCCAATCCACGATATGGAGCTACCACTAGCTAATGTCATTTTTTCGATGCACCGGTAGTACAGAGGTTAGGACGCCCGCCGAACATGCACATGGTCTGCGGTTCGATTCCCCGCCAACGCACACCTGATATCGATGGTTGGACTACCGTAGCCATACCAAAATACTGTGTGGAATCAGGCTATTATAAAATATTAAAAAATAATTCTACTTCACTATTCACCCCACCATCACCCTCCTGAACTCTCCATCATATTATGTATAAATTCACTCTGTTGTTCTATCTCGTAATTTTGTCTATAGTCTATCCTTGTTACTAAGAGAAATATGAACTCTACCTGCCCCCTTGTCTATCTACTATATAAATAGTTACTCTCTTTTAACACTAAATAATTCGTCTACTTACATCATCTTTGAAATAATTATGTTGCCTATACTAACTACTTTGTATCTATAACTTGAAGTCATTGTGAAAAGTATGTCGAGACAGCATTAAGTAAGTTATAATTGATTTTGTTGTTTAGGATGTAGGCAGTTGAAGAGAGATAGAATCCATGAAATAGGCGACCTCGTAATTTCCTGTCTGCAAATATGTTCGCTCTTTCTTTATTCAAACTAACAAAAGGTCAACGGCTATATATGTCCAAACCAAGTTCACTTCTAACAGTTTGAAAAAATTTGGGCTTTGGGTATATGATATTCATTATAATAAACACTTTCTGTATTTCCCAATGAATGAAAAAGAGCAAAACGATGTTGCTTTTAATGACATTTCGCTATTTAATGTTAATAGCTTTACCAAATTACTATTAAACCGGAATTTACAAAATCCACTCAGCATATATATAACAAATAGTTAAGAGGTGAGAAAATAGACAAGTTAGGTCAAGTTAAAGGGACATATTGAAAGTCAAAAAAAACCATGAAGATCACTAAATCAAATAACAAAGGTAATAGTACATCTGTTATGGTATCAAAATAAAGTTTACTAACTTGATCATCGTTCGTCAGTCTGGGGTCATTTTTCGTTGTTCTCAAGTTGGTCAATTGGTAAAGATAACAAAACCAAGTGTAGATTGTTGGATTTGATCAGTGTTTAAAATTACAAAGACAGTGCGTGTTTACATAGTGGACTTGCATATCACATTTGTATTGATTTTGTCACTTCATGGGGAGGGAGGTGTTGTAACCAGGTGACATTCTGTTCTAGTCCATCATTCCTATTCAGGCAATTTGGATTCCACTGGATATGAAGTGCTTCTGATATTAGACGTTCTCTGTGATTTCTGAAATTATTTTTCTGGATTATTTCAATATTGTCAAAACCAATTTTGTGGCCTGATTCTATAGCGCCGGGTGTAGACGAGCTATGGCTGATGACTTTTCAAGCTCTTCTAGTTCAACCGGATTTCTCAGTGGTCGAACAGATGCTCTACGGTGTTCATTTCTTTTGATTACCTTGATTTCTCTGTGGCGATGTTTGTCCGGTGTATATCGCACCACATTCCAAGCATTTTATTTTATAGACACAATTAGATAGAGAGTCTTTAGGGATTTGGTCTTTTATATGGACAAGGCTGTCTCATAGTGTGTCTGATGTTTTAAAGAAAACTCTAATGTCGAGCTGATTGAGTACTCTTCTGATATCGTCTGACGTCTCTGCTCTATATGAAATGACAACTGTTGAGGTCCATGTTTTCGGAATACTTTTTTGGCCATAATTAATGTCTGTATTGATTTTGTTGATGAAGTTCCTTGGGTAGTTGTCTGCTTGAGAATCTCAGTAATGTTTGATATTTCTTCTTCTTTTCTTTCTCATCCGTTATCAGAGAGTGTGCTCGTCTGAGAAGACTTGAAACAACCGAAACCTTTGCGCTGACGGGGGATTTGATGATTTGAAGTCTAAATATTTATTGGAGTGGGTTTTCTTCCTGAATATGGCTATACTAAAATGTCCGTTTTCCCTCCTCTTAACTAGCCAGGCAGTCTAGAAATGGTACTTCACCGACGTCTGATTCTGCTTCCGAAGTAAACTGGATTCTCCAGGAATGAACTGTGTAGATCTCGTTTTAGCACTACAAAAGTCTCATCTACATATCTTAAACATATTTTATAAGTGAGTATGCTTGAAAAGATGGTATTTTCGAATCTATTCATGATAAGGTCAGCGACTATTGGGGAGACTGAGCAGCGGCTGTCCGGAAGATTCTGTTCTAGTTACAAAACCTTCTTTCATGAAAAGACCATAAGCCAAATCGGCTGCATAACTCACAAAAAACTCCGTTTCATTAGCACTTAAACAGAGACTTGTATACATGATTCTACTTCTCACCTGTCATCTATTTCATGGAAATGCAGAATACAAAAATTGTATGTGAATTCATCTTGAATATTTTTTCGTTAATTTCTTGGCTTCTTCTTTGGTTATTTCTCAGAACTTTTATGGTATATGGTTTATATGTTTGTTATGCACTGTGTAACGTCAAACCGAACTGGTTCAGCGACTGCCGACATGTTTTCTTCACATGATCTCCTCCATCTCATCGAAAGACCCACGCATAACCTACTGCTCCCCATCCAGGTTCCATTCTACAGCGTAGCGTGTTATGCCACTCAGTGATCACCTCAGCTTAGGCTCAATCTATCTTCATCTCCTACATATTTCAGTAACTTGAATGTTCCTATAATTTATTCCGAACAAAAATAGAGCGAATAGTTGTGTTTTCAATAAAGTCACTCTTCTTCAGGCTCGATAATTGCAAATCCACTAATTTGGGCATACACTATCCAGCCAGTAAAGGCAAATTAGAATCACATCCAAAATGTATTGTGGAACAAGTATAAGATGGGTTGGTGGAACAATAGTCAGTTAGTTTTTTAATATGCATGGTCATTGAGAACATGAGATAAAATGAGATGAAATAATTCAACGATGCATCTATATACATCTATAATCAAGAAAGGTACAGGTTTCGAGGGTGAGTGTCAGTGTAGTAAGTGGTGTGTGAGACAATATGAATACTACAGAAAAGTAAACCGACGAATGGGGTCGACCAGAGGTAAGTTCAAGGGTGAAAATAACGATAATAGCAATGATGTTGAAATAATAACGATGATGTGATGTGAACTTAAAAGTACTATTGGTGAATGATTATCAAATAATGATAATAATACTAACAATGAATTTAGTGAAGTGAAATGAACAGAATTTTTTGAATATGGTGGCAAGTTATAAAAGCATTACTTAAACCTAAGATAACAGAAATCATAAGAAAGGTCAGAAATGAACGTTTGTCAATGAAACAAAGGAATAGAAGAAGAAGAAAAGAAAATTGTGATAGGAATTTAAAGTATCTATGTTGACGGAAGATTTGTTGGCCCTATTATAGGCCATGTTAAACATATTGGTTGGACATACTTCTTCTGTATGCAAATACCCGGTCTTCTGGTGTTGATTGCTACTATCTCAGCTACTAACAGAAGACGTAGCCGAGCTCGTCTGCATAGATTACCAGGAACGCAGTAAAATATTTGAGAACGCCTGCTCAGGTTTTATCGAGTGTCCAGTATCTACCAATTGGGCTACGACTGTACTATTTGCACACTTGGTTAACCCTTTACTCAATCTTACAAGTATATGTTCACGTGAGTGCATGGATAAAGCCCTCTGAGTATAGCCAATATAACTAGCTCCACATGAGCAGTTGGAGTCATAGATACACATTGATGAGGTCATCTTTGGTAATAATACTTTTAAGTTTACACCACATAATCGTTGTTACTTCACGATCATTGTTGCTGTCGTTATTTTCACCCTTGAACTTACCTCTGGTCGACCCCATTCGTCGGTTTACTTTTCTGTAGTATTCATATTGTCTCACACACCACTTACTACACTGACACTCACCCTCGAAACCTGTACCTTTCTTGATTATAGATGTATATAGATGCATCGTTGAATTATTTCATCTCATTTTATCTCATGTTCTCAATGACCATGCATATTAAAAAACTAACTGACTATTGTTCCATCATCCCATCTTATACTTGTTCCACAATACACCTTCTTCTGATATGATTCTAATTTGCCTTTACTGTCTGGTTATTTATTTCTTTATTTTTTTGATTATAGCTTGAACCACACAGTATTTTTGGTACAAGTATGGAATTTTCAGCATGTGATATCGGTAGCCCAAATTTTGCAGGTCGACCATTGATATTAGGTGTGCGTCCGTAGAGTATCGAACCCCGGACCATGTGCATGGTCGGTGAGAGTCCTAACCGCTGTGCCACCACCAACGCACAAATTAATGGATTTATAATTGTAGATACTGAAGAAGAGTAACTACTTTATTGAAACCACAATTGTTCGCTCGAAATCATCTTATTCAGATCTATAGTAGTTCACATTAGTATTAGTTAGTGAGACATCTCAATTTATCCCTTGCATTTGTGTGCAATTGGTAATGTGTCAAACTTATCGTGTGTGTGTAGGCATTTGACACTATACTTGACTGGCTAAACTTCACGTAGGTGGTAAGAATGGGATAGAAAATTATAATCCAATGGTTCCGAGTCAAGAGGCAAAACCAATGAGGAAGGGTTCCCTTCCCTCGGATATTCTACATGAACATCTGTGCTCTTAATCAGGAGAACTAACACAGGAAATTTAGAAACACAAGTATATAGAAAATCAACTCAACTATAGTAGCAATGACCCAATTACCCACAAAAGAAACTGTGTGCAGACATTGTTTAAAAGAGTTCAAACACAACCCTGAAGCACTACTCCAGTGTTGAAGAGAATGGAAGAAAAATACCTACTAACTGTCTTCAAAAAGAATGTATATCCTCCTCATAATTTCATCAAAAAGTGTTTAAGCTCGAGTCACAACACCAACAAGAAACCATCATCCTACCATATATAGGAAAAAATATCTCTGAAATAACAGCTAGAATATTGAAACCGTTTGAAATAGATATAGCACACAAGCCAGTCCAATCACATCACTTCAAAGACTTTGCTTTTACTGACTGGCTGGATGTTGTATGCTTAAATTAATGGATCTATAATTAATTGTAGAACCAGAAGAAGAGTAACTTTTCGAAAACACAATCGTTCACTCTAACTTAATTTTATTCCTCCATATTTGTTAGGGCATTAGCTTGTTGGTTAGTTCATCACTAGAATTCCTTATTGCTTGTGTTTTATGATTATCTGACCTTCAGTTTTTCAGTGGAGACACCAGTTGATGAAGGCCTGCTTTACATCAGCAAAAGCCCTAAATTTATATGAAAGTGTAACTTTAATTTAATTCCTTTTTGTCTGTTTTTTTCCTCATTTTTATAGGTTGTCGTTGAAATTAGATATCATCCACGTGTATACAGACAGAAACGTTCTTCAGTAATGGAAGGTGATGAAACATTATCGAATGTTTGTCACTCGACTGGACATCATTTTGGTTGTTGTACACAACCGCTGTCTGTAAAATTTGCTGATATTGGCTGGGATAATTGGATTATACAACCGAAAGCTTTTCAATTGAATTATTGTCTTGGATCATGTAAAAGTGAGTCAGTGATTATGACCTTGATGATGATGACTCCTTTCATTAGGAGATTGTTTTACTCTCATCTGTAAATGTAACAATGAGAAAATTATGATAAATGAAACAGGCTAGTTTTAAGAGAACAATATTATATATATGCAGTTGTTTACTCATTTTTTTTCCTTCACGTTCCCCAGTGGAACATAGGGCTTCAAGCTAGAGGCTTGAAGTTTCTGTAGCAGTGTTTATTTTACGGGATGGGGTTGCTAGCCTCATGCCCAACCTTTCCTCTTTACCAGCATTATTTCTGGCTTAGCGAGGTAAAGGAGTGTGTCGGCCGGGGATCGAACCCCGACCCATGTGACTGGTTGGCGAGCGTCCTAACCGTTATGCCACCGACGCACTGTAACTCATCATTATAATAATAATAATGTTATAACTACAATAATCACTTCATTCCAAACAATAGTAATTATTACACAAAACCGCTGAAGAGGCAGAGAAGACAGAACTTTAGGTGAACATAGAAAAGACGGAGGAGATGAAAATAACCAACCAACCGACATCAACAACAACAAAAACAAAACCCAGCACCAATCACCATCAGCGGGAAAGATTTAACATAGATTAACTCCTTCACTTATCTAGGCAGCCAGCATAGTTTCAACCACAGCCAGGCAGCCGGACAGCACGGATGAAGATATCAAAGCCAGCCATTCAGAATTGGAAAGGCAAGATATACCTTCAACAACCTGAAATCAGTTTGGAAATCTTCTACTTCACTTAGCATGAGGAAAAAGATTCTCATTTTCAACACCAGTACAAAGTCTGTCCTTCTATATGAGCTAGAAACTTGCAATGCGTGTTATCAACGTCTGACTTCAACAGCTGGTTCCATATTGAAGATCAAATGGCCAGAAACAATTGGTAACAAGAAAATCTTTCAACAAAGCAACCAAGAGCCGACTGCTTAACATATATGAAGGATAAAATGGAGATGACTAGGGCAAACGACACTGAGGAGATCGTGGAATGAAATCGCGCGCAATACATGCCATCGCTCAAATGGAATCCCAACAGGAAGTAACGAGTGGGTCGTGAGTGTGAGGGTGACATGGAGGAGGTTATGTATTTGGGAGGAGGAGATGAGAGAGTCTGGTCAGTCGTGTGCCTGGGCAGCTGAAGAGGATGGCAGAAAATAGAACAAAGTGGAGATGTGTTGTTGAAGCCCTATGTTCCACTCGGAACCCAAGGGAACAATATTAATAGTAAATACAGAATGGAATTCTCAGCGCTTTGATACATACTGTAATAATTTAGGACCTTTTATAAATATGTACATACATAAAATTTAAAATAGTAATAGTAATATTAATAATGAAACCACTATAAACAGAATGTTGGTGGAAACATAATGAAGTATAAGTAGATAGTATCGTAGATACTACCTGTAATAATAATAATAATAGTCTTTGCTTATACTTTGCAGTTCACCTACTGATTTAAAAAGTTTATAAGTTCTTTTCTGAAATCTGACTATCTCTTCACACAAAACCACCCATGCTAAATATGGTGCTACGGTAGAAGTTTTATATTTAGTAGCTGGGTGAGCGTAAATGCTTCTTATGAAGTTTCTTCTGGTTTCACTCCCCGAAGATATACAAGGCAAAAGTTGAGAATAAGTGGAGAGGATGTTCAGTATCAGACAAGATAACTTTAACCCGATAACTGCTTGCAAAGGCACATACACCACTAACCCTGCCTACTTACAGCCTTCATTGTTCTACGTAATATGACAAAGTCTTTTCTGAGAAATCCAGGGAAGAATAATAGCGAACAATCAAAGAGAATGCGCAGAAAACATGAAATAAAATGATGCCTGAAATTCTCAACTTCTTTACGTAATAAGTGAGACGAATAATTTGGTTAGGAATCATCAGGATATGATGAGATGACCAACAGAGGAGATTTGAAGAGAAACTAATGTCGAGATCAGCGATATTCGATGCTGAAGGTGGGCATGTAATCACTACTATCCCTTCAAATAAAGTTAATTTTAACAAGGTCTAACAAAATCCAACAAGAACAGAACAGAACAAGAATGATTCGTCAAACTTTTAAGTAGGATGACGCAGTCAAGCGACTAATCACAAGGTTTTGAATAGGACACCTTTGAAAATATACCGCCGAGTACTTGAAGATATTTGAAATCAAAAAATTTCGACTAACTTTCCACCGAAATCGTCATCATTGGTAAATTTTTCTACACAGTTTCTGTCTTATTGAAATATTAGTGCATAGAGTTGTGTTTACGACGCCAGTGGTACAGCGGTATAATGCTCACCGACTAAGCCTCATGTGGTTCGGGATTCCATCCCTAGCTGACGCACTCCTTTACCCTACTAAGCCAGTAATAAGACTGGCAAAGAGGGAAGATTGGGTATGAGGCTAGCAACCCCATTCCGTAAAAATAAACATCACTGCTACCGAAACTTCAAAGCTGGAGCTTGAAGCCCTATGTTCCTCTGGGAACATAAAAGAATAAATAAAGGGTTGTGAACACAGCTTTTAATGTCTCTGTATCCCTCTATACATTACTTATTGATCGATTGTTTGATTTGAATAGTTGAAGGCCACTCACAACAGCCAGTAGAGCTTCCTAACCAGCCAGATAGCAAGTGATCTAAATACCAGAAGGTTGTTTCGCTCGTTTTGAAATAGGAATCCTGTCATGAGATTTCCTTTTTTTTCCCTGAAGTTATTGCTGATGATTCTGTTTTAAAATAATAAATACTGATACAGGATTGCATCTTCCAGCTAGCACAACACAGATGGTTGTACACCAACACCTGGCCAATGCAATTAACTTTGACTGGACACTAGTAACTAGTGTAATGTGTGTGTCTAGTCCTTTGTTTTTGATGCAGACTGAATTCTATTAGTCAGGTTTGCAATGTGGTCACCATGCCACTAAGTAGCTCGTCACCATGGTGCACATTGATTTGATGAAATTATATGGATGGAGGCAATCTCCAGGAAGTCTTAGACCTAGATTTCGTTCTAGCTGGCACTCGTCAGCGAGATGTATCTGCAACCGCTTTGAAGGAATTCATGTCCCTTTTGAGATTCAAACCTGTGTCACCCAAAGAGTACTGCAGTCAGTCAGAGACGTTACCACTGAGCTACTCGGGCTAGACACATCACACTAGTTCTTTACTAGTGTCCAATCAAAGTATCCACTACAGTCCTACATGAGGTCAACCGCGAGTCCGAATAGTTCAATGGTAACGTCTCTAACTGCAATACTCATTGGGTAGTGACTCAGGTTCGAATCTCAGAAGGGACATGAGTCTTTTATTGTGGTCGCAAATACACTTTGTTGACTGGTGAGTGCCAGCCAACTAAAACTAAACCTAGGTCAGGCGAAGCTTCCTTCAGATTGCCTCCAACCATCTAATATCAAGAAATTAACTTTGTCAGTCAACAAAAGTAGTGTTCAAAGTCCACTGGCGTTCGGAGTCCAGAGGATAATCCTTCGACGTTTGAAAAATTGAGTTAAGGGTGTCGGTTTCAGCGGAAACACTATCATTCGTTGAGAATATAAGTAGATCCAGATGATTAGTCCTTAAAAGTACGAAATTCTCATCCAGGATTCCGTTGACAGTCACCATCAACCAAAATAATGTTTAAATTAATAATAATAATATATATTTCACATAAATTAAGCATTTACATGATTAACATACCGTTTGTACAGGCATGATCATATTTGACAAGTGCAATTTGAAATGGAACACCGTTTTTTTTGACATCAAAAATTGGAAAAATGGAAAAAACCTCTAGGAACTTTGTTAGAATAGATTATAATATATTGGTTCAAGTCTAATTTATAGTCTATAATATACTTATAGTCAGTTAAATTCATGCGGGAATTACGAAATGTTGCGTTAATGGAAGGTAAGAAGGCATTCACTTATCTCTAGTTTCTCATGATTTTCTAATATTTCCCCTTTTTATTACTAATTTCAGTCACATCAGCAAAAAGTCTACATTATGACGTCATGGATATCCTGCTCCGTAGAAACTTATCACAATTCGGCAACATACAACCTGATGAAATACAATCCTGCTGTCATCCAACACATTTGGCAAGTATGCCTGTTCTCTACTTAGACACAAATCGTGAATTACAAATGCATAGATTGCACAATCTGATTGTTTTAGGGTGTGGTTGCAGTTAACTACGAAGAACAAATTATCATTGTTATTTAAATCTATACACTGGTCTTTTCATGAATAAACTTGTTACTTGCGTGCGTGCGTATTTCATAACCATCAGTAAACTTCAATGTCATTTTTCATGCAACCATACTGATTGAATCTAGTCATGCTTATCTATGAAAATCTGTAATAAGTCCCTACAGATTGTCGTCTACTGCTCACATATATTCATTGCATAAGATATTTAACTTAAAATTATATACATTTCTATGTTGTGAATAGTCCCTGTTTTATTTTTTTTATTCATCTCTTTTTCTTTCATTATAAAAATTCACTAGTTTTCATCATTTATGATGTAAATGAATCATTCAATATTCATGTCCAAGTATTCAATCAGCTTTTTTGTTTATCTACATCAATTATTTTTAATATACACACACCAAGGTCATCATTTTAAAATTTCAGTGTTGTTATTAAAGAGTGAGGATAATGGATATCGTGATGTATTTTCGTGCATCGTATGGGATATCGTATTCATGCTTACTGAGGGGTTATAAGCGTCGGTGGTATAGCGGTTAGGACTCTCGCCGACCATGCACGTGGTCCGGGGTTCGAACCCCTACCGACGCACACCCGATATCTATGGTCGGCCTGCAAAATTTGGGCTAACGATATCCGTGCTGAAAATGCCACACTTGTACTGAAACTGCGGTGTGGCATCAAGCTGTAATCAAAATTAAAAAAAATAAATAAATACAGTTTTGTGAAAATGTGGAATATTTAATTAGTTTTACGCTTCTGTAGTCGAAAAAGAGCAATATTGTCCTGTAGTATGTTCGTATTCCCAGCTAGAATTTTCTTTAGGTGCATAGCAGAACGTGAGATAGTTATCTGCAGTCTTCTCCAAAGTCTCTGCAGTGCGCCCAAAGTGTTTTGATATCCCATATGAATTATTACGAAGAAAGGTATGCACTAAGAGAAACTATACGTAGAAATGACTTCTATTTTTGTTTTGGAGCCTTAAGGGTCTGATATTGTGAATTGACTACAGACATTGGTTAGTGCTATGTCAGTTATTCTATGAGATTCAGGCTTTTGATGGAGAATAAACCCCCAGACTTAGGTTGGATATCTGTTCTAAAGAGTGTATGAGGTTTGTAAGCTTTTTATTTTCATCTGGACTGAATGAAATTGTTCTTGACAGATTGAATAAATCATGTTGTAAATGAGACAAGAGGCTGGATTTTACTATGATTATGCCCATTTTGATGAAGTTCATAGTTAAAATTGTTCAGCCGAAGATGAATTTACATTATCACATGGAACTTTAGAAGACATTAACTGCTAACTGCGTCAGACAGCATCAACCTGGCTTGATATCAGTGTGCATTTGGACAAGAAGAGTATTGTGGATGGTCCTTCTGAAATGCAACGCTGCTTACAATTAGTATTAACTTTCTGTCCATTTGTTCAATTGCGCATTTCATAAGGGTGGTAAGGTGTAAATGCGTAACATTCAAGTATGTAAAGGGCTTTTGGAATGAGACGTGATTAACTGTACACGGATGTATTTCCAATTAGTGAAAACTTACTGCTATTTAGATAGTATGTGAACATGAGTATTTCCGTCAGGAATCTAGTTCTTAACCGATATTCAAGAAGAGAAAACATTTTAGCATCTGATGCGGGTAGTGTTGCACAGAACCATTAGTTGCGTGGTAGGAGGAACACGAGTGTAACCAAGACATGTAAACTAGGGATTTAGTGTCCCGTGGTGTCACTAGGTGCAATTATTGGAAGAAAAGCTACCTTGTAAAGCTACTAAAGAGGGAAAACTTACTCCTCACTCTGTGAGAACTGGCGTGAAATAATGCTCATGTCCACGACACGTAAAATACTAAGTTGCGCCATCCCGAGGAAAAATAAGAGATACACTGGGTACAGGACTCCGCCCGGAACAAGATGAATTCAGGAAATGTCAATCATATGTTGACCGAGATAGCAACTTTACGGATCACCATCAAACAGAGCATAGAGTGGCGGTCAAAACTCTACCTCAACTTCATCCATTATGAAAGGACTTTCGACGGAGCTGACCGAGAAGTTATTTGGGAACTGCCTCAACACCGTGGCGTGCAGTGCCCCAAGTCTTTGTCAACCTTATGTAAGAGCTATATGACAGTGTCAAGTGTTAGGTGATCTGCAACCGAAAACTCAGCGAAGAAGTGTCTGAAGTGAATACATGAGTAAGACAAGCCTGACTAGCTGCCTATTACCACCAATGATGATTTAGAGGCTGACGGTATCGATGTTCGCGAATTGTACGGAGTATACTAACGCAAGATCTAACACCAACAACTTCTATAGTATTCGTTCCGTGTAGGCGAAAAGCAAAGCAAAAGACCAAAATTGATCATCCAAATTACCCAGGTATATTTCGGGACCAAATCAGAGTGCTAGATGATTGCTTAGCTGGCTAGTGGTTGTGCACGAACGTGACACGACGGAGTACCGGAAGCCTTCAGCTAAACAAGTCGACTTAAACATTGAGAGTCAGCATCCAATGTTCAGTGATGATTGCTGTGGTCAATAATTTTGAGGAATTATTTACAGCTACAATGATATTCCTAATTGTGGATTATGCGTTGGGTGAGAAGACAGAAATACGCTGCACCCACCGATAAGAAGACTCTAGATGATCTGGATTTCGCAGATGATTTATGTTTAATATCTCACAAACTCGAAGGCTTACAGGTGAAAAAATAACAAAATGGCTGAAGACGCAGGCAGGCAGGGAAGACAGTATTGACTCCACGTGGTGAACAAACAGAAGACAGAGGTAATTAAGAAGAACAACCAACAGCAATCAGCACCAATCACCATCAACTTGGGAGATTTAATAGAGGTTACCTCCTTCACTTATCTGTCTAGGAAGCATCGTTTCAACTGCAGGTGACAGCACGGGTGAAGATGTCAGAGCCAGCCAGCGAGAATCGGAAAGGTAAGATACGCCTTCATCGCTTTGAAATCAGTTTGGAAATCTTCTACTTCACTCAGTCAGCCAGCATAAACAACAAGATTCGGATTCTATTCAACACTAATGTCAAGTTAGCCATTTCTTCTTTACGGGTCAGAAACTTAGCGCGTCACGAGAGGCATTTTAAACAAGCAAATGTGGACTTTCATCGGCAGCTGCCCTCACTGGCTCCATACTGAAGATCAAATGGCCTGAAACAATCGGTAACAAGAAACTCTGATTGTGAACAAACCAACAGGCGAGAGCCGATCGCTCAACACGTATATAACAGGAAATGGAGGTGGACTGATCTGGCATACTTTGAGGAGAACGTTGAATGACATCACACTCAGTGCAGGACATCGCTCGAATGGAATCCGAATAGGAAGCAACGAGTGGGTCGTCATTGTGAGGGTGACATGGATGATATCGAATGTTGTGGAGGAAGAGATGAGAGAGTTTTGCAATCGTGTACCCAGCTGAAGAGGATGGCAGAAGATAGAACAAAGTGTGATGTGTTGTTGAATCCTTATGTTCCACTCGGAACTCAAGGTAATAATAATAAATCATTACCCCTGGTTATTTTTGGTGTTTGTAAAGTGACTTACGCTTGTATATCTGTAACACTGACAATAAACTGGCCTTGATAATTTCCGAGTCAGTTTCTGAGGCTGCTGTGGAAAATGAAATATAGATGCGATGCAAGAGACAGAAAAGAGCATTTAGTTCCCAATTTGATTTGGCTTAGTTGACGTGCTAGTCGTGTTGACTTTAGATGAGATCACTACACCATGGGATAGTCGACAAGAAAGCTGCAACATCGCCGGATCAGCCGCTAGAGCATGTGTTAAAACCACGAGGAGAACAACTCCTAAGTCTTGTCTCTGATCCATTCTTATCATGGTTGTCTGTGCTGCAGTAGTTGCGACAGAATGACCATTGTGTGGGGACTTCCTCGGCTGCTAAACTGTAGACTTATGCGGTGGAATAACTAGATCGCCGTACTACTGTTGAACTGGCAAGATGACGTGAAGATTGTTTCTAGTGCAACTTGTACATTACCCAGATCATTCATGTAGCAGTTGAATTGGTCAAAAAGACAACCATAAGCAGTGATGAGGCTGCCAACAATACCACCAGAATATGTGTTTGGACTTTTGTGAGAAGTAACCATCATAACTCGTGACTGTTTCGTTATGACAATACCTATGATGGTGTTTGTCAGTGGCGTAGCCACTGATGCTGAATTAGCCGATGAGGCATTTCTTGATCGAAGTATTTAGTGGCTAGCTTGACAACGCGACTTTTGTACGCATGAATGGATAGAAATGTGAATATAATCATTTAGACTAACAGGATTCTGGAAAAGATCCAAGACTTCTGATAAACTCGCAAAGAATGCTAACCATTAAAATAATGAGCTTGCCATGTTATAAGTGTCACATTAGCAGCATAATCAATAAAGTACTTAATGTGCCATTACAACATACGCTTAAAATTCAAACAAATACAGTTTTACAAATAAGGAATGAATTTGTCAACTAATTGCTCGATGAAAGCAGGTTACGAACTTGGAAAGTATCTCAAATACTCATTAACATGGTCCAAAGCTGATGATGCATGTTTCATTGGTGTGATCTAACTTGTTGATGCTCAGTCTAGGTTCTAATTAACCGTCGTTACGTGAATGAAATATACTTTTCCATGCTAGCATGTGGCAACAAATTAGGCATTAATATGAATGTAATTTGCTGTGACTTAGATAACTGGCTCATGCGGAGCAAAAGTAAGGTGGTAAGATAAACCACGACGTACCGAATGTACAATGAAATTTACAATAATTGTATGAAAATGTCAAGTGACTATTAAAAAGGAATACTAGGACTCACGACAGTTACATAATAAACATTGATCAAAAAATCAAAGTGGATCGAGACTTGTCTGGATTATTTCTTACTCTGTAGGTGCATCTATTATCCAGCAGTATTTTGATACTATCAGCCC